TTGTAATGCTTCACGTAGACGGGGGTCCAAGAGCCACTGGGAGGGAGTGCCTGCTGCACACATAGCCTGGACCCATGGCCAGTGCTGGGGAACATGGTCACCCGCTCCCCTGGTGGAGTCAAACCGTTTGCAGGCATTGGATTCCGTGCGTTCTCAACCCGTAGAAGTTGTTGAAGGTGGAGCGGCACACTGCGTAGTGCCATTGGCTGAGTCACGGGCCGGTTGGAAGGTGGGAGCCCTCTGGCGCCCTCCGGGCAGCCTGGGCCAAGGGACGTTGGGGCGGTCTGGGTGGGGCTGTGAGCTCGCCAACCACGTCACTTCCCTGTTGCTGGTGGTGATCCAGGTAGGATACTATGGCCAGTTGGCTGGCGACGTGGCAGGAGTGGAGTCTGTTGGTGTTGCATGCATTGGTCTGCCGGTGGTCACGACCCTGGCAATGGGGCTAAGGAAGGGCTGGGCTCGAGTCGTGCTCGAAGACGCTCAGTCGATTCTCTGGTGATATGGGACGCTGACCGTGCAATTCGACGAAGGTCCATGGTGCATGTTGTTTCCAGCACAGTGAGCCCCTTCGGGGTGAGACCACAGGCTGCAAGACCGTACACGAGGCTCGGACACAGCAGGTCCACAGGCGAACCCTGCTCCATAGGCTAAAGGCGTGACGCCTTTGGAAAGATGATCTAAGACGGGAGTAAGTGATGCGCCCTACATGGATGCGGTGCTTCCATGTTTGCATTTCGAATGGGCCATAGCTGATCTGGGCGCCCAAGTAGGTGTGCTGACTCACCCAGGGGATCAAGCTGGCGCCCTGCTGTCTGGGTACAACCAGATACTTGGTTGCCCTTGATTTGCTTGGTCCATTTCTTCAACAGCCCCGTCACCTTGCACCCGGTCAACCGAAGAAACACTGGAGTTTTACGCAAGTTCACTACAAGTTGATTGGCCTCCAGGGTGTCCAACAATTGGCCGAGTTCCTGGACTGCTTGTGGAAGATCTGCAAGGCAAGGTGTGCAAACGCCCATTTTACTACCAAGTCATCGGCGTATGATATGAGGTGCTCACGAAGCCACTCCAGTGGCCGGTCAATGCAAGCAAGAAACTGGTGCAAAATGTCAAGCAAGCATGCATTCCACTGGAGCGGAGAAGCAACAAAACCCTGCCGGGTCCCCCTATTAGTAGGGACAAGGGTGCACTGTTGCCCCCGGTGTGAAATGTGATTGACGGCACCATTCAACCATGCTAGTAAAGGATTCTGCAGATCCTCAGGACAGTTGGCACGAGATAATCCAGGTCCTAGCCGTTCCCTCGGCATACGATCAAAGGCTTCGGACAGGTCTATAACCTCAGACAGAGCCCTCCGCCCACCGTGAGTGGTGCCGCACCCGCCCGTCGCTGCCAAATGCTCATGACAGCACTCTGCCACCTGAACTCTGTCAACTCTGTGGCTGGGCTCTGTGTCCAGGCCTTGTCCTCCTCTTGGCCGCGCCCCTGAACTCTGTCAACTCTGTGGCTGGGCTCTGTGGCTGGGCCTTGTCCTCCTCTTGTCCTCCTCTTGGCCGCGCCCCTGAACTCTGTCAACTCTGTGGCTGGGCTCTGTGGCTGGGCCTTGTCCTCCTCTTGTCTTTGCTCAAGTCGGCTCTGTGGCCGGCCCCCCATGAGCGGGGCACCGTCCTGACCGGTCCATGGCTTGGCGGCTGCTTCCTCTCTTGGCTTGCACTTGGCTGCTGCTGCGCGGTGCGTGGGGCGGCTGGCTCGCACTTACATCCGGATCAACCTCGAGAAGGAGTTCGACTGTGCAACCCGGCCCCAAGTCCGGGAGTGAGCCCCTGAGGATCAGCACCAGCTTCTTGGCTATCAGCTGAGGGTTCCTCCAGTCCCACGGCTGGGGGCAGAGGAGATGGGTGGAAGTCCTCCATAGACCATGTGCTCATGAGAAGATGTCAACAGGATGCCCAGGTCCAACAGAGTCGGGTTCTAGTAGACTTCCCAGTTGCAGGCTGGAGAGCCCTACTACGAGACCTGAGCAGCCTCCCCCTCTACTGGAAGGTGTGGCACTCCAGGTCCCAGCTGTCCCCAAATGACCGTTGGTCCTGGTCGATGCGGCAGGTCCTGCAGCAACACTGCCGAGCCCATGATGACGTGTGGGAAACGTTCGTCCCACAGGCCCGCACATGGCTTGCTCCACATGCACCTCGCTGGTCGAGTCTTGAGTATCTCAGCAGTCGGTCCAAGGAGTACTGGCATGCCCAACATATAGTCCCTCCCATAATTTGCCGGATTGGATGCATCCTCTTGCAAAGCTGTAGGTATGCCGCCACCATGTGGCACCACTATCGTCTGTGGTGGTCTCGGATCTACGTACGAGTTTCCATGCCTGGTTCCATGCCACACAACATGGCCGCCTGCATCAGGCTCTGACGAAACATGCTCGTCAACAGAAGAAGGATAAGTTCCAAGCCCAGATGCAGTCCGCTGCTCAGGCCGATGCGGCGCATGATCAGCCCCAGTTGCACTCCATTGTTCGTACATTATAAGCCCTAAGCAGCCAGCCCAGCAAATTCGTCTTCGTTCAAACACGGGCCTTGCACAAAGCCCTGAGGCTGAGCTGGAAGACATTCGATTGTGCGGCCGTCTACTGTGGGCCAGCTCCTCAGCCGCCAGGCCCCTGCTTTCGACTAACAGAACTGCCATTCACTGTCGAAGATCTGCGCAGACAATTTGACCAGGTCAATCTGACCAAAGCTGTTGCTCCGGGCTCACTGCAACCGGCGGTGGTCTGTTCCCTGGCCACTGAACTTGCCCAAGTCTGTCATGCGCTTTTGACTCGCAAGTGGTGCCATGTGGTCGTCTCCATCCCACCACAGTGGCAGGCGGGTTGGCTCACCCTGATTGCTAAGCGAGCTGTTCGAACACCCAAAGGTGTGAGGCCAATCGCTCTCACGGACATCCTGGGCAAGTGTGTGCTCCAGGCGCAGGTACGTCCACATGTCCTGCCCAGTCTGTGTCAGGCCCCCTTGTCAGGCTATCTACCCAGATGTTCGACAGTTGATGCCTTGATTGCAGTGTTCGAGCATTGCCGGAATGTCCGTGCCAGGGGCGCGGCCAAGAGGAGGACAAGGCCCAGCCACAGAGCCCAGCCACAGAGTTGACGGAGTTCAAGGGCGCGGCCAAAGAGGAGGACAAGAGGAGGACAAGGCCTGGACACAGAGCCCAGCCACAGAGTTGACAGAGTTCAGGGGCGCGGCCAAGAGGAGGACAAGGCCCAGCCACAGAGCCCAACCACAAAGTTCAGGAGCGCGGCCAGTGAGTGTGGCCAGCGCTTTTCTTTCTAAGATAGAACCCCGACAGTAAACTGTTTGGGGAAAAACACCTGTACAAAGTACAAATCAGCACTGGTTTTGACACCCTAGGTGTTTGATCCTGGAAGGGATGCCATAACAACAAACTTTTGGTCAGAGGTTGGGGGTACAAATGGTGCTGTGCTGCAAGGGGGCTGGTGGTGCTGTGTCGATGCGGGGCTCTAGGTGTATCGTGAAACGGGACCCGCAGGGGAGTCTTGCAGCCTCGCGAACGAAGTCTCGCAGAAGGTCGTCTCCCAGAAGAGGCCCCAAACCCCAACCCTCCCTCACGCCTGTCAGCTCTCATACATGTACGTCACTGGCGCCTAAAAGGCTCAAGGACAATAGGCCGCTTGCATTGCACGCTTTCGCGCGGTTCACTCGCATTCGAAGCATTCCTTTGGAGCCGGGGCAGTGTTTTTTTCAAAGGGAATCGAACTCCGTTGCTTGCACTTTCGTGTGAATAAGTCGTGGCGGAGCCTGCTGCTACCGATGTGCAGTGGACAGGGCTGTTCTTCAGCCTCACTTTCCTCAGCTTCTGGCTTCTGCTTGGGGCTGGCAGCCACTTGCTCAGATGGAGGGCCTTGCGTGTCTTCCAACCTGAGTTTTTTTTCACTATATATAGCTTTTTGTTGGTGGTGTGGCTGTTGACTCAAAGCTCTGCTTCTTTTGCAATGGCCCCACCAGCATCTCAGCAGTGTCACTTGAGCGCATAACCTCCAAAAATTGCCTGGTGCCTGCGGCCTTCTTCAGCAAATAGATTCGAGGAGATTGGGAATGCTACACTTGATCAAGGATGCCACTGTGACAGCAGAGTGGGGAGGCAAAGGGAGGTTCTGCCTTGATGATGTACCACAAACAAGGCACATGTCTGCAAATTTCAAAGCTCCAGGCAATTCCCTGTCTACCTTTTAAATCGATTGGCTGCATGTTCTTGATTTGGGGGTTGTTGCACTGCTGCCAAATTTTCTGGCAATCTCATGTGGTTTGTGTTAGACCGGCTTCCAGGAACCACAGCAAAGCAGCAACGCCAGTCTATAGCAACGTAGCTTTCTACGGGACAGATGCGCATAGCAATGAACATTAAAGGAATTGAACCCTGGAATGTCAAGGATAGAGTCAAAGTTAGGAGGCCAAACAGCCCTAAATCAAGAGCCAGCACTGGACATGGCAGAAAAGTTTGATGAAGGACGATGGGGGAAAACTGTCCTCCAAGCGGCCCATTGCTTTGACCAAGCTACCTTCAAGGAACTCACATGAAAGTTCCTGCTTCTTCATCTAGCTCTGGAACAGGGCAGTCGCGCAGGCCTGTGGAAACTCAAGCCAAAAGACCCATCAAGAGTTGGCTGAATTTGATAGGGATCTCGCAGAGTGAGGTCTGGGGTCTCGCAAAAGGGAGTCTCGCAGAAGAGGGCCTGGGAGAAGGGCAGAAGGGGGTCTCGCGAAGGGGGACCTCCTGAAAGATGTCTCGCCAGGGAAACTCGCAAACAGTTCTCGCCCTCGCAGCTTTGGGAGCTTCGCCGCTCCGGTCGGTTTCTCGCAGCTTCGTGGCTTCTCACAGCTTTGGAGCTCCGGTCGTCTTGACCTTCCCGGACCTTCCCTCCCGGCGCAATGTCTTTAGTGGCATGTGATGGTATGAGTATAGCTCCCCGCTACATCCAGATCTCAAGACCAAGGCGCATCAGTAACTTGCACCAATTGAAACCCATCCACATAATTGAGCTCGTCTGACTCGTCTTCGTCGCTCTGGATCAGGGAGCTTTTGCAGTAGCACAAGGCTTCATGGCCAGGATTTGTGGTGTCTGAGCAATCGATCCCCGCTGGGCTTGCACCATCGTAGTAGACGCAAAGCTCTGGAGCTTTAAAGAAAGGAGTCCCTGCATAGCTCCTCCCAAGAATTATCGAGCATGTTTTTCCTAGACTGCTCAACACTGATGCCACTGTGGCATCATCATTCACTCTGGCCATGGTATTCTTGTCGCAAAGGTCAACTCCACACACATCGTCGCAGGTGCCCCCTCCAAGCAGAGATGACGGCACGGCGGGCGAAACATTATGCAATAAAAGGATACGAACACAAGTGGGGCACACTGATAAGAGAGGAAAAATAGACTGACTAGTAACCTGTGGGTTTGTGGCCTAGAGCACCTCCCACGTTTCAGCATGTTTTGAAGGCCTGCAGCACTCAGCTGCCATCCAGTGGTAGGAAACGTGCCTGTCGCGGTGCTCGATGTGATGGTCGTGGTCGTGGTACTCGGTGGGGACGTGGTCGCTGCCGTAGTCGTCGAGACCAAGCAGTAGCAAATGCGCTTTCCTGGGCGAAGAAAGCGTTGAAATCGTTCCAACAGCCTGTCCCCGGAACAATTCGTCAAAAGATCCATAAAGACCAATACTCTCTGGCAAACTCGCAAGCACGGGAAACACGAACACGCAAGCCTTTTGAGCAAATCGAGGCGGCCCTTATTGAATGTGGATGTGGCAGAACATGCGGTGTTGCCCGCCGCTCCCCCATAAGGGAAGCACGTGCCCTCTCGCCACATAGGGGCAGCTGCCCAGTTAACACCCGGGTCAAGAGTGCACGACGAGCCCAAGCTTGTAGACACGGCCACCAAATCCTTGGACTTGCTGTTCAGGACACGGAAACAAAGCACCATGTTCCCAAGGAAAACGTTCACCCGCAGCGCAAAATGAAAACCATCCTAAGCGAAACCAAGGCTCTGCTCCTTGAAGTTGCTCCTGCTTTTGGGTATCGCAGTTGTCGACTCCACATACATCATCGCAGGTTCCTGACCGGCAAAGAAAGGCTGGTGTTTCCACAGGGGCAATGCCCTTCTTGCAAACCGGGCAAACACCTACCATGTTCCGATGTTGCCTGGTACATCTCCTTTTTGCATCTAGGCCTCTGCGCCTCGTGCAACACCTGTCACGGCCCATGAAGTCTGGCGTGCGTGGTAAGACTTGAGGCGCCTGGATCTGGGCTGAACTTCCAAACGCCGTCAGCAGCTGTAGTGGTGGTGGCACTCGTGTTTGTGGTCGTGGCTGCCGTAGTGCTTGCTGTCGTGGCTGCCGTTGTAGCTGCCGTTGTGGCTGCCGTTGTGGCTGCCGTTGTGGCTGCTGTGGTAGCTGCCGTGGTGGCTGCTGTGGTGGCTGCTGTTGTGGCTGATGTGGTAGCTGCTGTTGTGGCTGCCGTTGTAGCTGCCGTGGTAGCTAGTGTTGTGGCTGCTGTGGTAGCTGCCGTGCCAGTGGTCGTGGTCGTGGTGGCAGCACCAGTTGTAGTACTGGCTGTTTGTGTGGTTGTGGAAGTAGTTCCAGTCTCCAGCACTTCCACTCCTTCAATCAAAGCAGCAGCTTGGGGCTCTGCCGCGGCAGGCAACGCTGCAGCCACGTTGGGGTTGCCACAAACAACTTGCAGCCTCAGGGCGAAAGACTCCGTGGATGTAGGGAATGAACATGTGACAGAAATGAGATACAAACAAACAGATCTGAAAGCAAAAGAGTTTGTATTTGTATATCTGTCCCATTCTTTTTAAGCAAATTTCTTATGGAGCTGTGCCCGCACGTTTGTATCTGTTGACGCTCCGCCAATCTGTCCAAAATGATCGACAGCGGTTTTTGAGAACAAACGAAGTCAAGTTGCAATCAATCATGAAACATGCCAACGTGTCTATCTTTGGCCCTGGTTCGCAAATCCTGTCGTGAAACGAGCAGCTCTGTCAGCATCTCATGGAGATTGCCCTCTCCAAACACTGGAACCGCATAAGTTGCAAGGTAGCCGCAACTGTCTGCCACGGAGTCGTCCACAGCAGAGGCCCGACTTTGAAGAAGAGACGCGGTTCCAGACCCAGACAATGAACCAACAATCGTGTTCAAAGCATCCACCAAGCCTTGACTCGTCGTGTGGACTCGAAACATGTCACAACACGTTTCCAACCCATGATTCGGGCTGGGTTGGTTAGTGCGGACGACTGCTTCAGCTGCTACAAGAGCTTCTTCAGCCTTTGAGAAACAAATGCTTAAAAGTAGAGTTCTCAGTGTTGCCATAAATTGCAATTGGAGATAATTGGAGCTATGCACATTGGACTATGCAACTATGAATTCATGTTGCCAATAAAGCCAGCTTTGAGACTTGACAGCGAGAAACCCAGATTGTTGTTGTAGTAAGTGTCATTGGCCGCGTAGTTGATGACAAAATCTGTTGCCAGCAACGTGCTGCCTGACATGCTGAACCATGTGTTGGAGAAGTCCCTGACCAATCTCGCGTCGCTGCCCGTAAGGCCATCAGCCAGGGCCGAGAAGGTCGCTTCAAGTGCTTCTGACGGGCAAATGGTGTTTGTCATTGCACCAGTGTAGAGCAAACACCCCATGCACATACCCCTTCAAAAAACATTTACAATATTAATGGTCACATCACAAATAGTAAACCACCGCAGTGCCCACCGCGCAGCTTCTAACACCTTTTGCACCTTCACAGCGCCACCTGTTATCATCATCAGAATACCTTGTAACTTCCCTCCGCCTGCCACACATGCAACTTGAAGCACATGTCAGCACCTCAACCCCTGTCATTCATTCAGCGTATCCTACAAGAGTGCCACAACTGAGTGCCCTACCTTCCTCACATTTCTCGCTATATGCATAAAGCACGAGCTAGATTTTTTCTGGGGTCCAAGTGCCTTGCATTTGGGTTTGTGGCTTCTATCAAGTTTTTTTGACCCGCAGTGAAATCTGACCTTAACACCTCGACAGGCTACTCAAAAGACCATATAATAGCTAGTATAGCAATTCACTGTAAGATGGCACATGAAAACAGTCCAAACAAAATGGCATCTTGATCATCTTGCAGTGAATCGCTACAAAATATCCACTTCGACCTTTGTTGAGTCGAGGTCAGTCTTCTGAAGGCCGGCCATACCAGCCAGTTGAGGCTTTGTGAAGGTCAAAAGTATGTAATGCGTGGGAATGTAGGTATTAAAAATCTATCCCGCTGCCAAGTGCCTTGCTTCAGGATTTCAACTCATGCGCATTGAGTCTATTGATGTGGAGAAAGTCTGATCTTGAAATCATATCATTTGGGGGTTCGGTCCCTGTTCGCAATGGCAGCGTATTCCAGGATGACTTCCCAAATGATCCAACTGCCATGACATCTTGTCCTTCAAAATACCCTCTTTTTCGGCCCCAAGCAACAAGCAACCCAACTCAGTCATAGCCTCGTGAGGTTTCCAATGCCTTCAAAAGATTGATCACATCCGGTAACAAAGTGGTCGTGGTGGTCGTTGTCCGTCGTCGGAACCTCCGATCTTGCCGACGGTGCTGTCGACCTGGATTCCAGGCATGCAAAATCCAGTCTGGTTATTGGAGAATCTTAGCTCCAGCAAGCGAATGGACACCTACGGCATCTGTACGCGACTGGATGTGCGCACAAGCCGTACCACCTCTACTTTCTGACTTGAGAGGAGGGAGACACGAAAGGTAGGACAGCGGGAAGAGAAGAGAACGCGAGAGGCAGGAACAAAAATGCAATGTTCGACATGGTGATTTATCCCCTCGGAGGCGACCTTCCGTAAATGTGATTTCATATGCACTCTAAATGTTCAAACATATGCTCTCGAAATGTTCACAAAGATTCTTAGGAAAACACACTTGCCCCATGGCTCAGATCATCGGTGAGCATTACATCGGAGCATCACAGGATTTAAACTATCCTGAAACCATAAGAGGCTCACGAAGACGGTCCCCAGGAGAGAATTGACGTGCTTCACAAAACAAACTCTATAGTATGTATGCCCTCGGGGAACACCTTTCGTGATTAGAATTTCATATGCACTCTTTCTGATTGTTCAAGAGGGTTTCAACTATCCTGAAATCATGAGAGGCTCAGGAAGACGTTCTCCAGGAGAGAATTGAATTTAGAAGGGGGGGGGGTCGGTATTGAAAAATCAATTCCCCGGGGGGGGGGGGGGGGTAGGGGGAAAAAAAGGAGGGGGGGGGGGGGGGGGGGGGTTGAATTGAGCAATCAATTATTCGACCCGGACTCGCCGACACTTGCTTCGCAAGACAAACTCAAGGTATATCCCCTAAAGGGCTACCTTTCGTGATGTGCTACTTCCACCCTCATTCCCTCACGCAACAGCGTCTGCGGTTCAGGGTCTCGCGCAAAGAAGAAACAGGAACACGCAGAAGAGAGTTGAGTAGAAAATAAGATAAAATAAGCACATATCAAAACAAATCTAAGGAAATACATGGTAAAACAACCACCAACGTTTGGAATCGATGATTGAACCCGCCAAACCCGTCGACCACTTCGCGGAAGACCACTCAGGAAACCACTCGGGTGATGTCCAAGCAACGGTGGCGTCGATGCAACCGATCGTACTGTTGCGAGTATGGGTCATCCAGAAGCCGTTCGGCATGAATCTGAACGAAACCTTTCACGTCACCCTCTGAGAGGTTGCAAAGAGATCCACAGCTCCAGGCCGGCATGATCAGCGCAAGAAGTGGCACCACAAACATGTTCACGTTGAATCACAAGTATATATATGGAAAGTGTAAGTGCTGAGGGCCCAAGATGGCGGCAAACTGCTGGCTGTAGTCGCACACATGTGACAGTCTTGGGGCACAAAACTCACACTTTTGCCCGAAAACTGCTACCATTCTATTCCCTAGGGCTCCAACCACATCGTCAGAAGGTGGTTGGGGTGGGTTTGGGTGGTCTAACTACCTTCTGAGGATGTGGGATGTGTTTCTTTCTAGTTTCCCAATCTAAAGCAGACCAACGCCATTACCAACGCCTGCATGTTTGATCATTGGTAGTCTTGAACACTTCCCAAGCCGTGGCCCTTTCTCTCGGTTCTTACAAAGGAGTGGTCGCGAGTGATCGTATCATCATTTGGTACTCATAAATTTAGACTATATATCCCAGACACTCCATGTATGCCATATATGCCTACATTGGGGTGGTTTGGGGGGTCAATGTAGGAATATATGGCATACATGGAGTGTCTGGGATATATTAGGGCGGGATGAGAAACCTGAGTTGGCGAGGTTATTGTATAGGACCCCCCAAAGCCAATGAGGTTCTGAGATTGAACCAAATTGGTCCAAATTGGAAATAATTCTGAGAACCAAATACCGCAGAAAACCCATTGAAAAATTCGAAAACGGCCACAGGAACATACAAGAACCCTATCTCTTGACATCATCAGGTTTCTTGCCAAAATTCCGCAACGACCTCCACCACTTCGCCACTAAAGCTCACTCCTGCTGGAACCAAGCATGAAAAGCAGCAGCGTTGGGGTCATGGCGACCTCCGGGCTGCATTCAAAATCTTCTTTGCCTCTTCATTGTCTGCTAATTGAGTATATCAGTTATATCTGCACTCTAGATTGGAGGCCACCACTATTAGGTTGGAGGCTATTGTTTCTAGGTACGTGCGCCTCATGAGGCGACGTCGGTCTTCAAAGAAAACGACCCTAAGAACATCCTTAGACATGCCGCCCAATCACTTCTCAGAGGCTCAAAGGGGCTTCCGCCGCTGGCAGTCGGCTAGACTCAATGGTCGAAGGCGGGTGCCGTGGCAACTGCCCCCTGGCGATGCCAGTCGTCTATTCAATGTACCCAGCTGGTTGACCAACTCTCCTGCAACACTTCAAGGCCACGGAACAAACATCTAAACAAACATTTGCGGTGAAACGTCAGCGAAGAAACAAGCAAGCTCCACCAGCCAAGGGCTTAAAAACACAGGTCTTTCTGTCTGCAATTCTCCCTCGTCCTGTGCGAAAAAGGGCCCTCAAGGCTTGAGCCTCAAGGTGATCAACATCAGAAGCAAGCCGAGTCTGCCGACATCAAAAAAACACGATGCCAAGCAGTGACAAAAGACAGACTGGAGCGGTTTGGCCTGCATTTTCTGTACACAGGTGAGGGCACCAGTGGTTCAACGGCAACCTCCATGGAAGTGGTCCAAGCCCTGGCAGGGGTTTCCCCCCGTGTGCGTCGAACTTCTGAGGCGATGGTTTGGAATGTTTTTTGAAACCTGTTTCCCATTCCCAGACACGACCTGTCTGGGACTGCCATTTTTTTGGGGTGGTGCCGGGTCAATGGGGCGGCATATGTGGCAGTCCCATGGAGTGTCTGGGTTAGGAAAGCACGAATCGTCGTTGAACCCCCCTCAAAGGGGTACCGGGTAGGTGAGGGGTAGAGGCACACTGTTCCGTGCTTTGTCAGCGCTTGTTCAAGGTGGTCTACGGCGTCAAGGTCCGTTCTTCTGGCCCGGTTCTCGCGGTTTGCGGGGCTGTCGTGGTTCGCATGGTTCTCGTAGTTCTTGTGGTTTTTTGCGTTCTCGTTTTCTCGCCTTCGGTTCTTGGCAGGGGTTCACGGGGTTTTTGTGGTTCATGGGGTTCATTGGGGTTCTCACAGTTCGCTTCCGGTCTTTGGGCGCTTTAGAGTTAAGAGATCGGCCTGGAGCCTTACTCTGGATTTTGCTCTAAAGGTTTATTATCATTTGGTTATCATTTTTTATCATTTGTGTATATCGTTTTTTTATTGTTTTTTTTTATCGTTTTTATATCAACTATTTATGTTTTGGTCCTGCGGCCTGGCATACTGGATACAGCCAGGCATATCGATTTTTTACTTTTTTATTGTTTTTTTGATCATTTATTTATGCTTTGCTCCTGCTGAATGATAAACATTTTTTTTTGGCACGCAGACTCACTGTCTTGTTGCCTCTTTGGGGTGGGGGTGAGACCTCTCTCGACGACCCAAGCGGTCGGAGTGTCCTACCTTCTGCTTCCAAAATCTGAATGCATAACGGTAGGGAGGTAGGGATCCCACGGAGATTGAGCCGCCTGAAGAAAGGCGTCGTCACCAAGCTCAATCTCCTCGGGGTCCAAACTGCCTGCACTTGCTTCTTTGAAGCCATCTACAACTGCATGTGCAATGCTTAGGCACAGCCTTGGAGGATACTCCTTCAGCTCACTAGTCGCGAAAGTGCCCTCCGCCGTGCGACCGATCGACCGAGTTGCAGGCATCTCAGACGATCTTTGTTGTTCAAGACGTTCTTCAAGTGTTCGAAGGCCATGAACCATCAATGCTGTGGGCTTTGGAGACTTTGCCCCGAACTGTCCCTGCCAGACTCGAAGCTTTCTCATAGGTAGCAGCGCCAGCATTGCACGTAGGACCTTCAGGCGCCAAATCGACGCCAGACTTGCATCGTCTTTTGGTTCATCCGGGTGCTCGAGCAAGCAACCTGTTGCGGCTCTAATGCAGTCGAGCACGAGGATGATCGTGAACTGCAAGAGCCGTGAGCCAACAATGCACTGGGTGTGTTCTCACTGGCTCAAGCCAATCATCCCCCAAGGTTCCTGACTGGATCTGAGGACCCTTGGCTGACTGGCACTGCTCTCATCTTTGAGGCAGACTCCTCTCGCTCGTGACCAAGTTTCACATGGCGGACCTGCAAAGAGCGCTAGTATGCGACCTGCCTTGATCATCTGTCTCAGCCATGACTGTGCATGCGCATCTAGTAGGTCACATCGTTCGTCTATTGCAAGGTCGAACGAAAGGCAAATCACTGAGTGACTTGTCTGTCTTGCAAGTTCCTCAATCCAGTATTGGATATCTGCTTCACGTCGGCGGCCACTGAACAAATGAAGCACATACTTGGCTCTTTGCTTGGGAACACAATCCAAGGACAATGCACGAAAGTTGCAGTCAACAACAAACGCTATATTGCCGCAAATGGGTCCATTCCAGTCCAGGGACTCGGTTGGAACTGCAATTTGTTGCCATAGTCCTTTCAGGACGTCCCAGACACGGCCAAAGTATCTTCTATTAGTCTTCTATGTTCCGGAGAGCATATTGCGATGGTCTTGTTTGCCATGCGAATTGCACCCTCCTGCTTTAAATACTCTTGGCCGAAGGTGCGAAGCAAAAAGGATGCTGCACTTTTAACGCCATCTAAGAATGAGTGCAGTTCCTCTTCAACAGGAGCTAGGCTGAGGAGGTAATGGATTGCAGCCTCCTCGAAGGCTTCTACATTTTCGACACCCGACGATTCATCTTGCATCAGAGGTCGAAGTGTAGACCACCATGCTTTGGGTCCTGCACATTGCACTCCAGCTAGCGGCGGAATCTCGAGCTCTCTGGCAATTCTATCACCTCCAAAATCTTCCGGGTCGAGATCACTTTCCTGGATAATGCTCCAGCATGTGCCCCTCTTATATTGCCAGTGCTGCTGAAGCGCTTCACTATTGCCGTAATACTTTAGGCAGACCGGGCATGTGTCTCCTTTCGCATAATAGTATTGTGCAGAAAAGACTTCGTGCTGCCTATGCTTGTGCACTCCAAGAGCTTTGAGCGTGCCAAAAATCTTATCACAGTATTGACAGCGAAAGGAGCCTTTGACTACTCTCTGCACATTGCCATGTGTTTGTTCAAAAGAGGCAACGCCAATTTGTCTCAACATCTTGAGTGCCTTGCTTTCAAACTCATGCGCTTCCTGGAGTCTGTGAGCATAATTACGGCATGCTTTTCCAACTTGTTTGAGATGCGTCTTCCACTCGGTCCCTTTATCTGCCAAGGTTGTGACAAGATTCTGAATCTGTGAGACCTCAGGAATGCACAACCAATCTGGACACAAACGATTCTCTTTCAACCAGGTCAAGTCGGAGTATAGCATATTGTGGAGCCAATTTGACTCTCCCTCCAAGATTGCCCAGAAATCTGCGTCGGCAAACTGACAAATCTTCTGAAATTGCCGCAACCTTTCAATTCTCAACAGTTGCCTCGGGTGCAGAACTCCTAGTTTGGCCACAATCTTTTCATTGGATGCTTCCTTCCATTCATAACCATACAAAGCAACTGCAAGTGACCTCAATAGTCTGAATGCAGCGGTGTCAAAGACTTGCCATTCTTGCTGCGTCAAAAATGACCAGCATGATGCGTGATGGTAGAATTTAGATCTAACGATTGCATCATAAATGTGCAGCTTGACTTCCCTGGGAATGGCTCGGTTGGCAAACACATGTTTACGTAGGGCACGAAAGGCACTTCCTGCAATCCCCGCCCTAGAACGAACTTCTGTTTTTTGATTTTGGTGAGCTCTCCCGACCATACCTCCTAGATGCTTGTAGGTCGTGGCAACATGGACAGACCGAGTTTTGCCTTCAAAGTCTCGGAATGATATTTGATTGCCCATATCAATCGCAACTTGACGCTTTGCCTTGGTGGCGTTCAACCCATGGAAGCTGAAAATCACTTCGGTCTTTCCTTTACCCAGATTTAATTCAACGCCCAAGCTTGCAAATGCCTTTGACAGGCGGTCACATGCAATACTTGCCAAGTCGATCAATCTGAACGGATCTGGGTGTGACACTAGTACACATAGATCATCAGCCCATACTGGGAGACACGTGAATCTTCGACTATCCAGCTGAACTACGATGTCTAGCTCGTGGAAATCAGACTTTAACTGCCTTATGACACTACCGAATGCGATTGACCACAAGAGATCT